GGCCGAGACAGGAAGTCCTGGACGCGAGATCGAAACGGGAAGATTCCTCCGATGGCGTCGGCAGGTGGTGCCCCGCGATCGGCCCCCGGCGGGACCCCGTCCTCGCCAAACACGTCGAAATCGTCGCAAACGTCCAGCTTTGCCCGCCCGTCGCCCGCCCCTGCCCGCGCGAAACGGGTGCCCGACAGCCAGCGGCGGCGTGCTGCCGTCTCCTGCGACCACTGCAAGCAGCGGCGTGCCAAGTGCATGCGCGCCTCACCCCGCGATCCCTGCTCCAACTGCATCGGGAACCGCATCAAGTGCCAGTCCACCTTGCCACGCAAGCAGCGTGTGTATGGAAGTGTGGAATCCCTCAGTCTGCGGTACCGCGCCCTGGAGGCACTCGTAAAGGGACTGTTACAAGATGAGGAAGGAACAGAAAGCGGGCCAACAAGTGGTGCGGTCATCGGCACCGGCGCCGATGACAACGACAACGACAACGCCATGGTGGACACACCTACACACCAGCCCGCCCTCGACCTCGACGCCCTCTACAGCGCGGCCGCCGCCCGTGGCATCCCCATGCCCCCGCGCGAAGACATGACACCCGTCAGCGAGATCTTTGCCTCCACCGACGGCAAGCCCGGCCCCGCGCCAACAACCATTGTGCCGGCACCCCTCACGTCACCCGGACCAGCTGTCCCTTCTTCGTCCACCTCCTCAACAGCAACACCGATATCCCTGCCCATAGCGACGTCCATGCAAGCCACCGCCCGCCCAACTGCGCCGATGCCCTTGCATCCACTCCACCCACTCCCCCACCAACATCAGCTGCCCACGACCACGACGCTCACGACTCCCACCGCCGACGAGAAGCTCATCCCGACACCACACGGCGTTGCTCACTACGTCGGCCCCTCGAGCTCGTTCCGTTTTGTGACGTCCATCCGCGCACTGGTGGCACAGTGCGGCGACAACATCGGCGGTAGCGACCTTGTTGGAGGTGCCGGCGTCCAGGCGAGCGATGCGGCTGGCGAGGCCAGTCCTGCCACCGGTAGCGAGCCCGGCGCCGGTGGTATCTCGGGGGGTGACGGGACACAATCCTCACAATCAGCACCCAGCGCGTCAGGGTCAGGAGCATCGACTGACGCCACTGCTGGTCCAACGTCGGCATCCATTCGCGACGAGTTTGTCGGCTTGAAAACGAGCAAGGCCCTTGAGGTGCAGGATTCCTCGGGGGGTGATGAAGACGAGAGCGACGATGGCAGCAGTGCCGAGGAGGACGGCGAGAGTGACGGTGAGAGCGCTGAGTACGGCTACGGCGGCGACGCCATGGACGACATTGTACTAGAGGACAAACACCACCCACTTCAGTCCCAGCCCCAGCCGTCACCGCTTCCGTACCAGAGTCCCGTCGTTCCATACCATGCACCACAACCGCCGCATCAACACACGTTACCAGCTCGGCAATACACACCGCAATCCGGTGGTGCAAGCGGTAGCAGCGGTGGCAGCGCCGGCGTTGGCGGCGGTCCGCTCTCCGCCCCGTCTCCTGCAAACAGTCGCCGTTCCCGCTTCGAGTTTGACGATGCCGCCAATGCTGCCTCATTCTTACCGCCACGCGAAACCGCCAACATCTTTGTGCGCGTCTTCTTCGACCGTGTCCACCCCAACTATCCCCTGTTCCATCGCGGCTCGTTTATGCTGCGGTATGAAGCTCTTTGGCAAAAACCACCCAACGAACAGACCCCCCTTCCTCAAGGTGGCATGACGCCAAGTCCAATGACCAATCCTCGAGGCCCGGGTGCCGCCGACACTACGACCCACCCCCAAGAGCGCCAGGACGACTACGGCTGGAACTGCTGCCTGGCCATGGCCTTTGCCTTTGGCGCCCAGGTCCTCGAAGACCACGACCGCGCCCGCCGTGCCGCCGCCGGCATGCAGCGCCGCTATCTCAACCTCGTCCGCTCCTCTCTCAGCCGCCTCTGTGGCACCACCAATCTCGCCAACGTCCAGGCACTGCTGCTGCTCCAACTCTACGAACACAACGCTGGCCAGCGCAATGCTGCCTGGACTTTCCTGGGCTGTGCCTCTCGCATGGCTGTGGCACTGGGCATGCATCGCGACGGTGTAGGTATTCCCGTTACACCCATGGGGCCACCCGAGCCAAAGAGCGGTGGCACCAACACGAACAGCTCTCAAAAACGTGGCGGCGGTTCTCTACTTGCGCGTGCGGCGGCCGCCGCTACGCTTCCTGCGTCGGCCAGCACGCCTGACCAGGTCACCGATCGCAACGACCGTCGCCGGGTCTGGTGGACCCTGTACCAATTTGAACGAGGCCTCTGCATCATGCTGGGCCGGCCGTCTGCGCTGGACGAGGCCGAAATTGCCGTCGCCGCACCTACCGACGACTCTCAATATCCAGAGCTGCCCCAGGGCCATTCTGCCAGTCTCCTGCGTCTCATCCGTATCGCGTGGCGAATCAAGCAGATGGTTTTTCCAGCTCCAGGAAGCGCTCATAGCATCAGTGGCAATACCAGCACCGCCTACAATGCGTACTATCCCGGCAGCACCGACCCTACCACGACACCTCGCATACTGCTTGCCGAGCTCGATGCATGGCGTGCGTCCTTGCCCGCCCACCTCCAACCCGGCTGGAAGTCCACAGACATGTCGCACCGTCGCGCCGTGCTGCTGTTGCATGTGGAATACCAATATGTGCGCTCTCTGGCTACACGCCAATATGTTCTGGAGCGCGCTGACCGGTGCAGGATCAAAGCACAAGCCCTGTCGCCATCGACGGCGGCAACGTCGTCTTCTCCGGGGATCAAGGAAACGGCGGCGGCGTCAGCATCCGACGAAGCCGTCGACGAGCTCGCCGACATTTGTCTCAACGGCGCTGAGCGGGTCCTCGACTACTGTCGCCAACTGGCCGACATTGGCCAGCTCGACGGCGTGGCCTGGATCGACATTTACTTTTTGTACCACAGTGTCTTGGTCATCTGCCTCGACTTACTCGCGCGTATCGTCACGGCATCGGCCGCTGCCAAAGCCAAAGACAAGGACAAGGGCAAGGAAAATGATGCAGCAGCCGACAGCAAGGCGGATGTGACTGCTGCTCGCCGCCGCACGGCCGTCCGTTCTGTCTTGCAAATCACCCAGCGCACACGCCTCGCACCGACGTTTCGCGTGCTGGTGCTGGTCGCGTGCCAGTTGGCTGCTATCGTCGGCGCTCTGGACGGCCTGCCGAACCTGCCCGCCGCAGCCTCGGCCTCAGGCAGCACCAACGCCACCACGGCCGAGGCCGCCGAACTGGCTGCGTCAAACAAACACCACCACCCGTCCCATGGGTCGTCGGCCCGCAGTGGCGGCTCGCTGGCCACAACGTCGACAAAGCGCGGCCGCGGACGTCGTCGGCGCAACAGCTCAAGCATGTCACGCGAGCGCACCACGTCGCGGTCGCGGGGGCCGTATCCATCCACTCTGTCAGTCATGATTGGCGGTGCAAGTTCTGTTCCCAATGCGTCCATGGCGCCGCCCCCGCCGTCAGTATCAACTGTGGGCCACAACACCACCTCAACCATGTCCGATGCCTCCTCGCCTGCCAACGTGTTTTATTCGCCAGTGTCCCAGTATCAGCCGCAGCAACACCAGCATCAGTTCGGTCAGCAGCAACAGCATCAACAGCAGCATCATCATCAGCATCAGCACGACCTCCATATGCAGCAGCTCCAGACCTTTGGTGGCGCCGACTGGTTTGCCTCCGACCCAGCAGCGTTCCCCTGGCAGGTCATTGACGCCCGTTCGTTGGGTATGGGTGCTGGAGGCGGGGCAGGTGCGTCTGGCGCTGGCCTGCCACCGAATGCCAATGTCGCTGCTCCAGTCGGCCCCGTCAATGTGGCTGCAGCGGCCGCCGCTGCCGCTGCCGCGCAATTTCCGGTTGCTTTCTATACGCCGCAAGGCATCGACTTTGGCTTGACCACAGACACATCGACCTTTGGCGAAGATCCGTACGTGGCAGGGCAGCCGCCGCCGCCGCCACAGCAGCAGCAACAGCAGCAGCAACAGCAACACAGCATGTATCGGGCCATGGACCCGGCCGCGAGTAGCAGTGGATCAGTTCCACCACCGACAGCAGCCTTTGCCGCAGGGATGGATCTCGAGCCGGGGCAGCAGCAACAGCAGCCACGCCATCCCCACCACCCTCATCGACAACAGCAGCAGCAGCAGCAGCATCAGCAATTGCAACATCATCAGCAGCACCAACAGTACCCACAGCAACCACCACAGTTGGACAATAATGAATGGATCCAGATCTGGAGGGAGGTCAAGAACCGGTATCAATAATCTTCAAAAAGAACTAATGGACTTGTGTAAATAATTTGGTGTGATTGAAACTGGGTTAAAAAGGGTATATACTTTATTTCGGGTTCATCAGCGAGGGGTTGACTTTATATTTTCATTTTCAATGATAATGCATTATTGTTTCATCGTTATTATACTACGACTGACATGCATAACGTCTACAAACGTCAAATTAATTGACATTTACATAGTGGAAAACATTGCCGTACAATTATTCCGTGTTTTATTGATAGTATTAGTGAATTTTTACCATTTTCACTTTCTGTTCTTTTCTTTTCTTTTTTTTTTTGCGCGGGGGTTTGAAAAAAAAAAAAACAAAGCTCATGAAGATTCAAACGAAATTGAATTTTAATAACGCTATAAAATTACAAGTTTCAAAATATAGCAAGCCAAGCCGAACGAAGTCAGCAATTAATTCAATACGTTAAGCCTCTCATGTCCTGAAAATTATGGAGAGGCAGTGGGTTGTCCCCGTCGAGGGTGTACTATAGTTTCGCAGCGAAGAAAAAAAGTCATGAATCCAATCCCATGATGCACCCGGTACTCGAAATATTTGAACTCCATAACCGCCCCATGCCCAACCGCCCCATGCCCAATAACGTATCCCAGTTATTGAAGAAAAAGCAGCACAAGCGACCAAGTAGCCACAGAAGCACCTAAAACATATTCTTCAGATGCTCGTACACCGCCTCGCCGGACGGCAGGCCCTCGGCGGCCAGCTTGGGTTCGACGTTGGCATTGCTGGTGGGGGTGCCGGCGGCTGCTTCAGCCGCGGCCACACCACCCTTTGTGCTGTCCGTGACTGTCCCGGCCGCCGGTGCTGGGATCCCGCTCAAGCCCAAAAAGCCCTCATATATGCGGGTCATTTCCGTCTGGATCTGGACGCCGTTGGCCGTCTCCTGCTCGGGCGAGGAGGTGGCGCTCGCGCCGGCTGTTGCTGACGTTGTAGTTGCGGTGGTAGGTTGCTGGCCTGGCTTCGTAGTTTGAGACTGCTGCTGCTGCTGCTGCTGCTGCTTCTGCTCAAGCGGCTGCGGCTGCGCGCCAGGAGCCATGCCTGTCGACGGCGTCAGTGGCGGACCATTGGCAACAGCACCGGCTGCCGTCGTGCTGGGCGACGCCGTATTGCTACTATTTCCGTTGTTGCCGGTGTTGCCAGTGTTGCCGCTCTTGCTGCTGGGATGGGCAAGTGGGGGGTGGGCCTTTTGACTTTGGTTCGGCCCATTGCTGCTGTTGCTATTCGGGTAGCCGCTGCCGGTGCTGCTGGCAATGCTGCCGTCACGGCCGGGGGCTGACACCGCTGCTGACGCCGACGCCGTTACCGACCCGGATGCCAGCCCGCCGTTGCCTACGTTAAAGCCGGACATCTTGGTGGCAAACGAGTATTGCGAATCCTCGTCGTTCTGCTGCAGGCCCAGGCCCAGGCGCGGCGCATAGGCCGTGAGGGAGCGGATGGTGCGCCACAGGCGCTGCGAGACCCAGCTCTTGGCCGACATGTCCTTGACCAAATTCATGGCCATGTAAAACTCTTCGCGGCAGTCGGCGCTGAACTGAACGGGCTGGTGGGTGGACGCCAAGAAGAGGACGGCAATGGCGGACGTCAAAAACTGGTGGTAGAAGACCTGGATGCGCCGGTAGAGGTTGCTGCTGTTGTTGAGGCGGGAGAGGTAGCGGATGGTGTCCTTGGCGAGGTCGACGACTTTCTGGGCCTGCTCCATGTTGTCGTTGATGCTGCTGGCACTGTGCAGGACGGGGGTGTTGAGCCAGATGCGGATCTGGTTCAGGCGCAGGCGCGTCCAGATCTGCAGGCGCTGCAGGTTGTAGGAAGGAGTGGACGGTAGCGGCAGTTCGCGGTCAAAGTTGCTGATTTTGACGGCGTCGGGGCACGAGTCGTACCACTGGAGGATTTCGCGGTCGAGCGTTTCAAACTCTTCGCGCTTGAGGTCGCGGATGATGGCGGGCTCGAAAAAGTCGACGAGGCTCCAGATCTTGGCACCCAGCCGTGAGTACGTGATCATGGCGACCAAGTACGGGTACTCGTCGGGGAAGGGCAGGTTGGGGTCGATCTTGTCGTCGTGCAAGACGTACGGCAGGCCGGTGCCGAAGCTCCAGCGGCGGTCGAGCACGTAGGCCGTCCAGAAGGTGTTGATGGCGTCGCGGCGCTCTTGCTCGTCGGCGATCTTGACGATGCCTTCGCGGCGGTGCAGGCCCTGCTCGAGGCAGTGGCGGGCCACTTGGCCCATGACGCGCCAGGCCAGGACTTCGTCGTTTGACAAGAAGCGGTAGCCGGCAACGAGGGCGAGGAAGGGCAGGTTGGCGAGGTTGCTGGGCTCGCTCATGAGCTTGCCGTCGGTAATGGACTGCATGCTGTCGTACAGGCGGATGGCCTTGGCGCTGTGTCCGTGCTCTTCGACGGCCAGGCCGCAGCACATGATGACCTTGAGGGTCAGGGTGCGGATGTCGGTCATGGTCTCGTCGTAGTGGAGGGGCGGCATGTAGCCGCTCCTGCGCGCGGACTCCATCCACGACGAGAGGCTCTGGGCGTGCTCGATGACGGTTTCGATCTTGACGACGGGGTACATGATGCCGACCTCGTCTTCGTGCAGGCGACACAGTCGGACCATTTCGTCCTTGTCAAACTCCCACAGCGGATCGTTGGGTACTTGGTTGCGCGACGACAGGGGCAGCATGGAGGACGACGTCTGTATGGATACCGGTGGAAGGAAAGGCGACGTGCGCGGTGTCTCCTCCACGGCAGGTCCGTTGCCGCCCTCCTCTTGCGGCTCGCCGCTGTAGCCCATGTTGTGCAGGGTGTTCTTGGCAACGTCGACGGTAAAGGCCATGCTGGTGGGGCCGCCACGGAAGGTGTGCGGCTGGCGGATGGGAGCCAACTCGGGCTTGTGGAGAGAGGGTACGGAGGAAGAAGGCGAGGGGGAGACGGTTGAAGAAGGGATGGGTAGGATGCGGTCTTGGTGTGGCGTGACGCGTTGTGTCTCTTGGCGGAGGGCATGAATGCTTTGGACAATGCTCTCGAGCTGGTCTTCCAAATTGTGAATCTTTTCGGTCATGCTCTTGAACTCCTCCGAGTCCTTGAAGCTGCTCGAGCAGCAATTTGGCGAGTAGAGGCATGCCAAGTTGAGGTTGCCACATCGTAAGCAGGGAGTTTCGCCGTTGCCTGGGGGTGTGCACGTTAGCAAGGGAAGGGGACAGGACGATGGGTATGGCGAGACGAGGCATACACTTTATCTTTCTGCGCTTGCATTCGTTGCTGATTTGGTTAGCGCTGTACGTCGTACTAGGACGTCATATTAAGTCGAGGACATGTCGTCAACATACCAGGCTATTGAGATATACTATGGGCAAAACCAAAGTTAGTCGACGGATGCAACGCAGGGCATGTAGCATGTGGATGCCATGCCAAGAAATCCGGCGCATGGTAAGGATAGGGACAAGGCTGAGGCTGAGAGAGAGAGAAGAGAGGTCGAGAGAGAGAAGAGAGGTCGAGAGAGAGATGTGGGGAAGAGAGGGGAGAGAGACAAAGCAACAATTTCCTACATACCCGGTTGCGCTTGCTGCGCTGTTGTTTTGCAGTCGTTTCCTCGTCATCATGCTTCCGCTTGCCCGACGGCGTCCCGCTGTTACCGCCAGCGACGCTCCCCGGACTGCCGCGGTTGCTGGCATTGTTGACGTTGCTGCTGCTTCCGGGGCCGCTATTGCTGGCACCATTGTTGGCAACGTTACCGTTGCCGGCGGTATTCGAATAGTAGCTGTTCTGTGCACCGGCGTCCGGCGAGAAAGGCGAGGGCAGCGGTGTCGAGGCGCCGCCAAAGGCGGGACCGGAATTGCTGGGGTCGTGCAGGATCTGTGGCGGTGGTGGCCGAGAGTTTGCTCGGGCGGCTGCGAGAGGCGACGAGGAAGACACGGAGCGGTTCAGATGGTGCGGGGACAGGGCGGCGTGGCGCGCGTGGTCGTCGGCCGACGGCATCCGCGGATACGGGCCGGGGTGGGGAAGGCTAGGATGCGATTGCGGATGTGGATGCGGATGATGATGTTGATGCTGTTGATGTGAATGTGCCTGTGCCTGTGCCGGCGCTGGCAGCGGCGGCGGCGGCACGGCTTGCATCAGATAGCGCAGGTCGGTCGCCTGGGTTTCGATCTGCTCCATGTCGACGACAGGGGAGGAGACATTGGGCGGGGAGAGCGTCCCGAAAACAGAGAGGAGGTCGTGGCGAACGGGGGACGTTTGCGCTTCAGGGCAACGTCCTACTGCTGGAGGGCGACAATGCAGAGAGTGCCGCGACTCGCCGTGCCGCGAAATTCAGAGGCGTATCGTTATATCGTGTTGTCGTTTCGTCGTCAAGGGGAAGGTTGGGGGGGCAGTTGCGATGTGGGCTGTGTAGTGGTCGAGATCGGATGCGATGCAGTGAGGCGAGGTGACGCGAAAACCAGGGGAATCACTCCGATGGCGGGAAAGCGATCGAAACGAAACAATGGGGGAAGGCACGGGAACGACAGGCTGGGGAAGGAACGTCAGCAAGTTAGCTCGATTTGGGGGTGAGACGGAAGCCTCGATGGGACCGGCGCTCTTCTGTTGGCAGCGCAATCCGGAAGGTGCAACCCGGTACCGAGTGACGACTGGGGTATCACGGTGGTTGCGCGCCCGCTTCGTCGGGTCGCCGAGATCTGTCGGGGTCAATTCGAAATCGGAGAAGTGGTCGAGAGCTCCTTCGAGCCACGGTGCCAAGGTGCCAAATCAAGTCTCAGATTCAAGGCGTCGCCTCATCCGTCACCAGGTTTCTTTGTGTCGTCCCCTTGACGCTTGATGGCCCCTGGCAGCCTCTTGCTGAAAACAGTAAGAGCTGACGCCTACACGTGATCGAATCCAATGCCAAAAGTGGAGATCATCGGATAAAAAGAGTGGGGCACACTCGAAACTGACGAATCATTTCAGCTTCTGCCGGCACCGTCAGTTTCTTGTGTCAATAACTCGGTCCGCAAAAACATTCCGAGTCCAACTCTCACGACGATGCCGGGTTGACGGTATGTTCCACGAGCAAGGTTCCGTCCGTGTTGACAGGTCTTGATACAGATCCGGGGTAGGTGACGAAACATGCCCCCGGGTTTAAGGTGCAGAAAGGGGTGCGGGTCACTTTGTCGCGCCTTCCTCAACCGGCCAGACGCGGCTTGTGCCGGTCTTCCCTTTTAAGCCGTCCTGCATGCAGTATATTTCGTACTTCTCCATTTTCTGTTCAATTTTGGTCCAGCCATAAGATGATGTGAGGCTTCATTGAGAAGCAGCTGAAATTGCACGCGCAGTTGGGTCCCTCTGATGACGAGATGACAACTCGGACTACTCAATGGACGGCCATGCGGTTCCTTGCAGCTTAGTTAAGCAGTTTCAACCTTCACTGGACTACACCGTGAAATTGATGTAAATCGTACTCCAGAATCGAGTGGCAATCGCCGGTCTATTAACACCGTTCAACGGCACAGAGTGCAAAGGTCTGCTGCAATTTGTCGTGGTGGTCGCATCTCTTGTCTATGCGAGCTGTCGTCAACGAGTTGGCAGGTACCAAAATCCAAAAGAATTGCACCAAGATCCAAGGTGTTTCCTTGGACGTCTTTTGTCTTTGAACGTCGTCTGAATACTGGGCGTGAGTGAATGTTACTGGTTTCCGTAGGCGCAGTTGGTCCCTGAAATTCTGTACAAAGTACGATGAGTACATGTGTTGTACGAATTAGAGCGACTTTCTTTTAAAGTTTATGCCTGCCGTCAGCCTTTTTGTTGCTTTAGCGCACGTTAGTTGTTATTCAGTGGGGTTCCTGGCTTTGTTCCCAATCTTGTTTTGACGCCTTTGGGTGTGGCTGTTCGGAGGCATTGCTGGTGGGCAGCGCAGGTTAGTGTCCACGAAGGGATCGGGTGTCTCGATTATCTCAGCATCTCGTTTTCCCTTCTTGGCGGATCAGGCTCTCTTCATCGTTTTGTCCTCCTTTGTCCGTCTGGTGTCGTCCAAGGCAAAGGACATTGTCGTTCTTTTGTATGCCGCACAACAAGTCCCATAGCAGACGCGATAACCGTTCCAGAAACGGCGGTGTTTGTTTATTGGTCGTAAGATGTTTTTCGGGCTCTTGGCCAGCCCTGCTTTAATTTACCCAACGGATTAGCGCATTGGCACCCATTAGGTTGCTAGGCAAAACGGTGTTCGTTTTAAGGTTGCGATGGTCTCCTTAAATTAAACAATTGAGGCTCTGCAAATCATTTTGCAGCCTGTGCATTGTAAGATTGCCGGTACTCTCAGACAGCTTGTCGCTCACAAAAATTTCCCATTTCCCGGATTCTTTAGCGAGCCGCAGACTACGCGGCAACTTTAAGTTTATTCTCCCGTTCCCCATCCCAATGTCCCATTCGAGCCAGTCATGCTCATTCGTTCCTCTTCCTTTTTGTTTGGTTTTTGTGCAATTCTAGGTGTTTTCGCCAAGCAAAATATACCGACCATCAACATTCTTACCTTTGTCAACTCTTAAGCAGTTAAAAAAAGGCTCGCATATGCTGGCAGTAACATTTGTGGCCTCAGGTCTTTTTTCCACAGGTCTTTATTTGGAGGTGGACGTGAGACGGCAGCGTGCATTAGTTTCGTGGCTTGGTTTGCGGTTTAACCAATCACTCGACGCTGTGGCGGTCCTCCGCCTGAGCCTACCTTGTCAGCTTGGACGACGTGGTCCTCAGAGGAAATGAACTGTTCAAGAATGCCACTGTATGCCACTGTCCTTTCGTTATTCGCAAGACTTCACTCCATCGCCGGCGGGGACCAGACCTGAATAGCAAATATGAGGAAAGAGAAAAGAGATGGTGCTTGATTGACTATCCTACTATCCATACATGTAGATATCGTGATGAAACGTTGAACTGGCTAAATGTGATGATGATTAACGCTGTATCGTTCTAGACCTTCCATCGGCCTTGCGACTCTGTAGGACTTTGGCTTTGTCGGTCTGTTTGTAGTACTCGGCACAGCACATTTCATGAACAAAACAAGGGTGGTGTGGCTCAGACAGGGATTCGAACATAACGCATCATGTTATGCAGTTATCGTTGGAAAGGGTGACTCAGGACTGTGGGTGACATTGAGCCGCACATGCTTTGCTGGCTATGTTATTTGGCGGCTTTTTTTGTTACGAGAGATGTCTTGGCATGGTAGTTGTCCTTGCGACAGGGGGCTTTGTCAAAATCTGCCTGTCGTCTTCACAGTGTTTGGATGCAAGCCTTGTCATGTCCAGTCCCAAGCACCCAAGAACGCGCCAGGACGCGCCATGCTTTTTCACAGATTGGCATTTCTTTGTGCTCGATTCGTAGTGGAGATTTTAACTTTGGGATCGTCGCCGCCAACGAGCCGTCCGTATTAAAGCCTCTTTCAACGGCGGCTTCAGGATGTTTGTGCCTTTGTCGTGTCTCTTTCTGTGTGGACTACACAAAGATGTACGAATTACTTCCTGTTCCTTCTATGATGTACCGTGTATGTGAGCATTTCATTCCTCCGATGTACGTCGTAGATTGGTTTGCTCTGGCCCGTGAGGCTGAAAAAGAGGGGCGGTTGCAGGAAGAGCAAAGCCTCTGAGCTGCGATTGTGCGAGTTTTGATCTGCGGTTTCCTTTCCTCGTTGCCATCCGCCCCCCCCCCCCCCCCCCTGTTAGCCCTTTCTTGGTACAGAGAACACCAAGACCCAAGACATCCAAGCTCCATGATCAACACGAAATACGCCCAGCCTGACGGGGTCCCAAACATGTGCAGAGTACGGAGTACATTGTACAGAGTACGTAGAAGGAAATGAAACGAATAAAACTGCAAACCGCCTCCCCAGATTCCGTTGCTCCTCGTCTTGTCCATTCGTTCTGCTTTTACATTCGTACTGTCACCCAGCAGTCTGTTTTATGTAATTCGAGGTATTAACCACCCATGTTTCTCTCCCTCCTTCTCTCTTTTTTTTTAACAAAGCAGGGGCGTGTCTCTCTTTGATTTCGCTTCTTCCTTATTCCGCATTTTCATCGTCTGTTCTTCCGTCTCTTGTTGCTTGTCGTCTTTTCTTCGACAGGGTCTCGTACGCACCGTTCTTCTCAACGATCGACGACTTCAACTTCACGACTCCTCCATACATTTGATTGACACCTTGACACAATAGGCCTCCGTCCACTCCATCACCCTCAGGCGTCGCCGATCCACGATGGACTCCGAGTTCGCCTACATTGTCAGCAATGCTGCGCTCACAGGCATCATGATTCTGCCCGTGCTCGTGATCTGGGTGCTGTTCCTGTTCCAGGCCAGGCGGCGCAAAGACCCCGTACGCGACGGCTTCGCATGGCTCAAGGCCAGCTTCTTCTTCTTCTTTCTGAGTCTGATCATCACAACCGCGTCGGACGGCGTCATTGCCGTCCTGATCAACGACCCCTCCAACTTGAGCGCCAGCGCATTCATCTCGCTGGCCAAGGCATCCGACTACCTGTCGATCGTGTCGGGCTACCTGGAGCAGCTGTCCATCATCCTCACGCTGGTGGCCCTGATCGAGCTGGCCTACGGCTTCTATGTCGCGCTGCAGCCGGTGGCGCACGACGCAGCGAACAGCGCACCTGCTGCCGACGCGGCGAAGGGCGGCAGCGGCGCCGCGGCGACCCGTGGCGAGGACAGCCGCCTAGCCCATCACAACATGGTCCACATTGCGACGGCCGTCGTGGGCGTCGTCCTCCTGGCCCTGGCGACGGCCTGGTTCGGCAAGGGCGCGGCGGCGTACGTCAAATACAACAACGTCGTCTACAGCGACGACAGCAACACCAGCTACAGCCGCGCCACCGCCGACCTCGTCGCGTCCGTCCGCATCGGGCACAAGCTCGGCGGCGCCTTTGACATTCTCGTGTTTGTGCTGTCGCTGCCGCTGCTGGGCGCGGCGGGCTACCTGGTGAGCCGCGCCCAGGGCCTGCCCATCAAGAACACGACGGTGCTGTACCTAGTGGCCGTCGTCTTTTGGTTCATCCGCTTCCTGTGGCGCCTCGTCTACAACGCCGTCTGGCTGCTGCCGACCACGACCATCCGTACGCCCATCTGGCTCAACGTGGTCGACCCGCTGCTCAACGTGTGGACGTTTGTCATCACCATCATCCTGCTGTACATTGTGGGCGTCCGCCGCGCCGGCGGCTTGTGGTCGACGCCGCAGCCGTGGACGCAGTTTGCCGCCGGCGGCGCGTACGCTGGCGGCTACCAGCCAGGCGTCGCCCCCGCCGCCCCCTACCAGTACAACGGCTACAATGGGTACAACGCCGGACCCGTGCCCCCGGGCGCTCCCGTGTATCAATTGCAGGGCCACGATGCACAGCGGCAGCAGTTCCACGAGATGCCCAACCCGGCCGCCGCCGTCTATCCCCAGGAGATGTACGCGCCGCAGTTGCAGGGCAGCGTCCCGCCGCAGCAGTACCAGCCATACCCCCCACCGGCAGTGGCCTCCCCGCCCCAAGGCCATGTGGCTCCAGAGCAGACGCCGTCGCCCCTGACCGAGTCGGCGAACGGCGTCAACGCGACGCCTCCCCCGCCGTCCGGAACGAGTGCGTCGCCGCCTGCCGAGGTCAAGTCATGATTCGGTTGGTAGTATGAAGACGCTCCATGGGGATGAAGGCCACGGTCTAACAATGAGCAAGACGAAGTGAGCGAAGAGGGGGCGTGGAGTGGTACGATACCATGCTGGTGACTTGTCGTCGCCGTCTAATAATGCTATTGGCAATTCCCTTTCTTTTATTTCTTATTTCCTTCTTTTGTCTCTTCGTGTTCCCTTTCGTCTCTTTTATATCCCGCATGCGACATGCACTGAATAAATATGATAACAAAGACATGCCATGAGACTCGACGTGAGAATCGGGATGGATGTATGTTTGTCTAAGTCTATGGACGTCTACCGGGTTTGTCACGGGCCGTCTGTCTAGCTCTAGCTCTCCTCGCCGTTGACAGGTTTCTCCGTCGTAAATGGCTCGTTCTTGCCCCAGACTTTGGCAATGAACCTGGATTGTTAGTCTGCGTCAAAGCATCAAAGCATAACGTAAACAGGGACCACCATTGACTCACTTCGTATGGCTGCCACGTGCCGCCACTTCGCCCTTTTCGTTCGTAAACGTGATCGATGTGTACGCCAGTGTCTTGCCGACTGGGTTGTCAGTCTTGGGGTTTGGGGTGCATGAAAATGACAAGGGTGGAGGGCCCTACTTCTGTCCAAAACGGCCGTCGCCTTGATCTTGTCGCCCACGGCGCCGCCGTTGGCCAGGTACGTCACGTTAATGTCTGTCGACACGCCAGTGTTGAAGACGCCGTGCGACGCCACGGCCAGCGAGCCGCCAAGGTCGACCATGCTGGCAATCGTGCCGCCGTGAAGGATCTTTAAGCGGTTCTACATGCGTCAGAGGGAGAAATAGCCCAACAGTTCAGGTGCATCGCAACACCAGCCACACTTACTGTATGTTGCTGGGCAATGTCCAGCTCAAAGTCGACCTTGCCGGGGACGGCATGGGTGACGCGCATCTATGACAAACAACAGTCAGTGACGCCAACGTCGACAGGATTCATCCGCACGAGGCCACATACGTGAGGACCAAACAATCTAGAAAACGACGGCGGTCAGTACACACTGATCATTCGCGGGCTTCCACGGGGGACACATCGCCGGCCACTCACGTCGGCTCAAGACCGGACTGCCGCATAAAGTCGCTCAGCACCTGGACACGGTCAGCATTGAGGTTTTTTGATTTTGTGATGCCGTCCACATTTTGTAGGAGACGTGCTCCGATCCACTTACAGCCTTGACGAACCTCGTCGGATCCAGCTTGCGTGCGGCCATGGTGAATCTGTGCGAGCAGGGTGCTTGACAAAGGAAGGTAATGACGGGTTGGCCCAATATCGCGGGCAGTAAGTGACCGACGAGGAGAAGAGAAACTGTGAACAGCACAAATTGATGAATGAGGTCAAACGTTGGCTTCTGGTTTGCACTTTCCCGGTTGGCATATGCCCACCTTCTCGGTGTGTAAATCGAATCATTTTCAGGTGATATTTGGGGGGTTCGACCACTGTAATTCGCGCATGAACGGCCGAGGAGCCGACATGTCCACTTTTACCTTCCCTTCGGGCTTGCCCCGCAGCACGCTAAATATGCCGGCCGTAAGGCGCTGTGGCGGCTGTGACGCGTGAACAATTAGCCCGGCGAAAACAGCTCCAGGCGGTCGAGGCGCTAATCCCATTGTAGACAGGCAGGAAAAGAGCTTGCCAACATGCATGCATCCATTCACGATTGTCAAAACGCACCACCAACCTCACGATCACGAGACGCAAAACACCGCGACCACCTCGACGACCACAACCCCGGCATATCTCCCCTGTACCACTTGACCGCCGACCAGACTGCGTGTCCTCCTCTCTACCATGCGATAGCGGTCACGACCGTCCGAGGCCGTCCGACTGCGACCTCTTCGACTTCGACCTCGCTCGTCCTCCCCGTTCACGTCCCGTACGTCCCGTTTGGGGCCCCCCTCTCGCACCATGGCGACCGCTCCCTCCCTCACCCTCTCCGACTACCTCGAGAAGCAGCCCGGCACCAGCTTCCGCCGCCTCTACCAGCAGCCATCCACCACCCTCGCCATCTTCCGTCGCATGCTGACCCCCCTCGCCAAGACCTTTGTCCGCATGATGCTCTACCTCGATGGGCCGCTGCTGCTGGACACGCTCGACACCATGGTCGCCCCGGACGCGAAGCGCCAAAAGGACCAGGCCCTGTCGATTCTGCGGTCGCTCCACGTTGTGCAGATCACGCCCGCCGTGCGCGACAAGCCCCAGGAGATTATGCTGACGGCCAACTTCAAGAACTCGTTCCGGCTCGCGCTCGAGGGCGGTGGGCGGCAAAACAGCTTCGGCGTGCCGAGCGAGAAGCCCGTGTCGGCCGACATTGACATTCCCTTTCTCGACCGGTTTGCGCGGCGCAAGTGGGAGGACATTCTGCACTACGTCGTGAACAGCGTCGGCATCCCGGGGTCGGGCAGCACCTTCGAGGGTGGCAGCGGCGGCGGCGGCGGCGGCAGCGGCGGTCCCAAGAGCACGGTCAAGGATCTGCTGCTGGCCGGCCGTCTGGTGGAGCGGCGCACGGGCATGCCGGGGGGCGTGGGCATCACCCAGACGGGCTTCACGTTCTTGCTGCAGGCCGCCAACGCACAGGTCTGGACGCTGCTGCTGCAGTGGCTCGAGGCCGTCGACCAGCACCACGCGTCGTCGGACGGCGGCACCGTCGACAGCGTGGACATGCTGTCCTTTTTGTTTATGCTGTCGACGCTCGAGCTCGGACGCGCGTACGACACCAACGCCTTGACGGAGCCGCGCCGCGACATGCTGCCCTCGCTCATGGACTTTGGCCTCGTCTACATCCCGCCGCACGAGCGCGCCTCCCAGTACTTTCCGACACGGCTGGCGACCACGCTGACGGGCGGTGGCGATGCCGACGCCGCCGGTGCCGGTGCCGGTGGCGGTGGCAGTGGCAGTGGCAGTGGCGGCGGCGGTCTTCGCAGCGTCAAGGCCGGTTTTGCGGCCGCCACGGCCGACAGCGTCGCCGCCGCCGGCCTGCCCCCCGTCTCCGGGGTGGACGCGCCGGCCGCCCGCAAGGGGCAGGGCAGCATCATCATGGAGACCAATTTCCGCATGTACGCCTTCACCTCGTCGCCGCTCCAAATCGCCGTCCTCGCCCTCTTTGTCAAGCTCAACCACCGGTTCCCTGGCATGGTCGGCGGCAAAATGTCCCGCGAGTCCATCCGCCGCGCCATCTCGTACGGCATCACCTCGGACCAGATCATCTCGTACCTGGCCGCCAACGCCCACGAGCAGATGCACCGCTACGCCGCGGCCAACCACCGCCCCGTGCTGCCGCCCACCGTCGTCGACCAGATCCGCCTGTGGGAGCTCGAGAACGAGCGCATGAAGTCGAGCAAGGGGTTCCTCTTTAAGGATTTCGACACCCCGCGCGAGTACGAAACGATGGCCCAGTACGCCGACGAGATTGGCGTGCTGGTCTACCGCAACGACAAGAAGCGGCACTTTTTCGTCACGAAGCACGAGCAGCTCGTGGCCTACCTCAAGGCGCGGAAGAAGGCAGAGGCCTAGCGGACGAGCTCGGGTTTGCTTTTTTTGGTCCTTTCTTGTTTGTCATTTTGCGTGGAGTTTGGCGGGACAGGTTAGGCAATATCAAAAGGCACCGGGCGGTTACAAAATGCCCGCGGGTGCAGGAGTTCAATAGAACAAAATACAACGCATCATATCTTGTACACTTCTCGGTACGACGTAAACGGTCCTGGGGAATGCATTGCTCTTGCAGCATCGATGCCACGCATGTGACATGTCGTTGCCTTGTTTGTTTCACTCTACGACGGGCATTTCCATGGCAAAGAAACGGAACATTCAATGCAATAAAAACTGGGCTTTAGGTCGTTACTACTCTTTGACACACTTTACTGGCCTTTACAAAGGGCAAGGTGCACAAGTCTTCATACGTGGCATCCCTCATCTGATTGGCCACGCCAGCCCATTCGACGACTAGCATGGCCCAACAGTAAACAAGATGCACAGCAGAACTGTAAGGTTTGTCGTTCTAAACTACGTTTCTGTACATCGATTATGGAGCGAGACATTCAACAATATATGAAAGTCCGGCGCTTTTATGAGACGTCCCAAGAACAGGGCTGATACATATGCTTTTTACCATAGATACCATGGATACCATGCTGAATACTGTGATATTGAGATCCTGTAGCCACCAATATAAAGATGTCCATGGACGAATTCTAAAGATCACTTGGCCTATAAAACGCACTCACTTTCCTCTCACGTCTCTCTTTTCCTCACCTCCCTCCCTCTCTATCTTAATCTCTGTCACATCCTTTTTCTTTTTTCATTGTGGTATGTGTCTCTCTGTCACGCACGCTCCCAATTGTCCCAAACGTCAAAGCTTATCCACAACTTGTCCCAGATGTTAGGAATCACATTTCCAACTTTTCTCACAACCATGAAAACTCTTGCATCTTCCACCGGGCAGATTTCCTAGGAAAAGCTGCCTTCCGATAACGTCAGTCTGCCTCTGCCAGGGCGTAGCTGTTGGGAAGGCATGACCATGGTGGGAGTTCAAGCACCCCACCTTCCACGTGGCAAGTAAACAGCCATACGACCACGACTAATGGCAAGAGCAATCCAGGCCTACCACAGCCATAGACCTTGCCAAAAGCATCCATAAACAAACAGACAAATTTGTCTAGTGTCGTCTCATCATGGAAAGACACAGTCGCTAGGCTGTCTCCGTTCCGATGCCTCCATCGCCTGTCACGATTCCTGCACCTGCCGTCCCAGTTTAAGGCACCTTCGAGGCCTGTCTCCACGGTTACGGAGAGCAACAACAACTATCAGGGATCCCTGGAGAATCTGCAAGCTGGCGTCCGCCCAGTCGACGACGACAACATTGGTAGCGACTGCGAAAACGACACGGCCGACCTGCCGGTCCATACATCTCCTATCCCTTCAACAACAACATCAACAACAACATCGATACCAATCTCAACTACCATTCATCGAATCCGACACAGTGGACGCAGGGTCTCGACTACTGGTTCGAAGAGAAGGTGGCGGGCTTGCCGGTCGGTTATCCATTTCAGCTCCAGGCGCCGCGACCTGGGACGATGGCTTTTCGCCGTCGACGGATGGCGGCACTCCGCCGGAAGAAGTGGAAACGACTTCGAGAGCGGACGCGTGCAACGCGAAAGATTTTGCGCATGGCGAGCACCAATCGCGCGGTGTGTCTCGGCTTTCCGATGGACGCCAAGAAGTGTGGACGCAAAAAAGAAGATACGGATGAAGACAACCACCCATTTCCAGAGCTGATATCGTGCTCCAGATCACCAGATTTGGACTCGGACTTTGACGCTGCTTCGATTGGACAACCCGACCATGGTGCTAGGGCTTCTTCCGGTGCAGGTAACGGCTACAATGAGTGTGACAACGGAGATACAGATCCTGGAGACAGCTACGACGAGAGCGAGTCGGATCTCGAGCGTACTGGCGGCGTGTCTCTGCTCGACTTTGCAGGCCTCCAAGCCCAGCTGCCAATGGAGTTGGGTTTTCAGGACAACTCTGGCGACATCTCAGACGACACCGACATACACAGCCCAGATTCGTCCTCGGGTGCCACTCGACGCGCCGTCCAAAGTGCCAACATGCCGGGCGAAGAGCCATTCCAATCCAATACAGCCTCCGACCCCGGCTCCTCTACCTCTGATTCTTCCAGCAGAAGCGGTGAAGTTCAGTTTATTTTGTACAACTTTACGTCGCCAGCAAACCGACGGAACTGGCAAAAGGACAAACGGCAAGAGCTGGACCACAAAGAAAGGACCATCCGCAAGCTGCAGGCGCATCAGTTCCGGGCGCCGGATTGGACATGGATGCAAATGCAGCTGGAACGGGCCACGCGACGAAGGGTGCACGACGACAGCCAGCCCGGCTCGGCTCGTCTGCAACGTCAGCGCGCACTGATGGCTGCCGCGCCCCTCTCCTCTCCGTTCTTTGGCTTAGACGATGAGCCCGGAGGAAACAACGATATGAACGTCAATTTGGTCTTCTCCTTGGACGATCCAAGATCCTTGCGATCCACAATCAGATTATGGTGGAACGGGAGTTGATACGACAGATTGGTCGCCGTACGGTCCAACACGATACACAAATGGCGTATCTACAGATTCTACTTCAGCAAGTGGCTGCCGGTCAACCGCTGCAACGAGAGGTCGCCGAACGTGAAGCCAGGGCCTTTTACGAACTTTTCTTTCAACGCCAGGTGGCAGGAGAATCGACTTTTTTTGACGCATATCCCCGAACTTTGCCCGCAATGCAACACTGGTTTTGGGAACACGGCGTACCAGATGCTCCGCTCCACCACGTAAGACGTTTCGTTGAGCAGCATCGATGACAAGAGGACAACCGACGGGTAATTAAGGAACTTCTCCTGGAGGTTTATCCCCATGACCGACCGCCTGAAACTGGCATGGGAGTGGAAATAGTCCCGGGAGAAGCGGTCCCACGTCCGGTCAGGAATCCTGACAGTGGTGGTCACAGGTTGGCGTGTAGATTAAGGGACATGGCGCAGGTCTGGAATCCACAGGCAAACCGTTCCAGTCGACAAAGGCCATTGCTGAAGAGAAGACGGAGCGCGTAAATCAACATATCATTGATGATGATCCACGACAGCATCCCTAAGGAGCAGCAGCTTTTACAAAGCTGTTTGTCAAATAGATTTCTTTATTAAAAATTCATGCACAGGTTATAACCTGAAGTAACTATTGATGGAAACCTACAAAGTTTTACATTTTTTCATTTTCCTTTTTTGAAAACAAGAAACAATTATGGAATTTAAAAAATTCACATTAAACAACACGCAACTAACAAACAGCTAGGACTGGCAACGATAATACAGAGTGCTCAATCTGTAGCGGTATCACTGTCTTCTTATTATTTGTATGCCTATCCTGTCCATGGTCTACATCTACCGTCTTCGTATGCACTGCAAATCTCAATCCTCCCAACCTTCGATCTGAAAGTCAAAGTGCACGTCTCCCTCGCCGCGTGGGATGGGATTGCCATTGGCGTCCCACAAGGCCCGCTCCGTATACGACACGTTGCCCTTCCAGTCGACCAGGATCACAGTCTGCCGCTGTGTCCCGTACATGCCCGTCATGAAGCCCAAGGTCTGCTGGTCCGGCCGCTCCTCGGACGCCAGTGAGGCCTCGGCGCTCAACGGTGCCGCTGGCGTCTCGGCAAGGCTGTCTGCGCCTTGCTCGTCGTCGACACTGGCGGCACACAGACGGGGCCCGCTGGCCACAGCCTTGTTCATGGACGCGCGGTGTGCCTGGTCGCCGATGGGTGGGATAAACACCGAGTGCTTGAGGAGCGCGATCTGTTCTTCAAATGAGAGGTCGGGCCGCTGTGGCAGCGTGTCGCAGTCGAGAATGGAAAATAGGGCGTCCCGCAGCTCGGCGGGCTGCCGCACGCCGGCGCCCGCCAGCTCCTCGACGGCCTGCTCGGCCTCGGCGTTGCGTTCCGCGTCTGCCTGTATGTGCGCTTGGACCCGGGCCCGGGCCTCGTCTTCCGCCAGCTGCCGCAGCGCCTCTTTGCCGTCGCGCACCTTGGGCCACACGTCTGGGTCGTCGTAGCTCGTGTTGGACAGGCCGTACACTTCACCGCGCCGGCCCGCAATCCACGGTACTTGAGCGACCTGGTCGGCGCGGTTGGAGACGACGGCCAGCCCCTTTGTGGCCCGGCCCCGTCGCTCGCCGGCGGCGGCGGCGGCGTCAAACAGGTTCTTTCGCAGCTTGCCGCAAATCAAGGAGAACCCCCCCACGCCCTTGACGCCCGGCCCGGACAGCATGCGTTCCACAAACTCGTCGGTCGTCTCGTCGCGGCCGGCCGTCAGCCACGCCGTCACCATGCCGCCGCGGCTGCGCTGGCCGTGGATGGGGTGCGCGGCGTCGTTGGGCGTGTCTTCGCGGAAGTTGGTGAGGACGGCAAAGTGGCCGGCCGTGGTGATGCCGATCCACGTGCCGTGCTCGTCCCGCTGCAGGTCGCGGGAGGACAGGATCTTGTGCGTGGTCGCGGGGTCAGGTTGTGGCGGAGCCAGCGAAGCAGACGGCGCTGGCGTACCGCTGGCTGGTGTGCCGTTGGATGGCGTGTCACTGGATGGTGTTCCTCGCAGAGTGCCGTTCGGCGTCACAGCCGAGGACTTGCCTGGTGTCCACCAGTGGGGCCGGGAGGTGGGCCGCAGAATAAACTCATCGCGGTTGTCGATGACGATGAGCGCATAGTCTGGGTGCGCCGTGGTGAGGAGGACGATGCACATACTGGAGTTTGGTGGCAGAAACGAGTGTGCTGGTGTGGCGGGCAGCGAACGCTTGCCGTTCAACTCTAGCGAAACTGAATTAGACGGCTGAGGGCCCGTCCTGCCCTTTTATATAGGGGAAGGTTGCGAATCGAGTGGGACAACGGCAGATGTTACGGCATCCGATATCGTCCCGTCTCGTGTTGTTGACGTTGTCCCCCGATATGATGTCCGGAATGAGGATGGTGGGCCGACGTTGAAGAGCCAAGGAAATAGGCAAACGACAACTCTGCTGCGTTGGGCAGAACGGAAGGAGGGACTGGGAAGATCTGCCAAGGGAAAAAGCGTGTCATGAAGCGGCGCGTCAGACTGAATACAATAATCGTGGATGTGCTGTCTGATGTCTGGTGATGCAGCGATGCAGCTGTGTGTTCATGTGATGCGCCGGCTCCTTCCCCGCAGAGAGTGGCACTAAAAATGCTGGAGAAGGCAAGAGCAAATCGTTAACTTCTCGTCTAATGGCAGGCACGAGGGGCGACAGCAGGCAACGCCAACGCCAAGCAAAGTGTAAGAACAAGAACCAAAGCAAGCAAAAGTAGTGAGGTGAAAGGAGTGAAGCTGCAAGCTGCAAGTCTAGCTGGCATCTGCGGAAGTGCTGTCTCTGCGGCGCCTCCACGTATAGAACCGTTATGGCTGCTCTTAGCTGTGAATGGAGTAGCGTTCGAGGCTTCTGCCCGTGATGAATAGAAGTGGGAAATGGAGACCGTGTTGTCTCACTTCAAGCAAACCAAGCCAGTCACAGTTGTCATGCGAGTCCCAACTCGAGCGCCGAGGTCAGTTTGTTGTCGCTGACTCGATGCATTGCTTGGAATGTCTAGTGCAGTTTACCGTGGCTCCACCAAGGCAATACGTCCCTCCACCCCATAACATCCCCCAAAGCGGAAAGCGTCACTAGCACAATGGCATGACTCAAACGAAACAAACAGCACGAGATAGAGCCGCGGTTATTCGATGTGCGTTAAAGACGTTGGGACTGGGCATATGAGTCTTCAAACAGGACGCAAAGGTGGTCTCACGTTTTCAATCAAACAAGGTTGGTGCGACATACACATATAGCCACGCCAATTACACGTTTTTATGCTGAGTTGTCAACGAGTTGTGTTTTTCGCCTCACTTGAGATTGTGCTGCACAGGATTCGCGTCCATCTCAGAGCGACCGTTTGGAAATTCCCCGTCATCAAAGATGACCACAACATCGATATTCATACGAGGACCAGTGTTTTCTTATACCGTTTTTACTGTCTCTGTCTTTCATATCAAAACTTTCAGTTTGTCTTGCCCAAGCCCGATAACAAACGGTCAAAGGCGTTTGGTGATCTACAATGAATCATGTCACCCTTCCCCGGATTTTGACTCGAATCCACCTTTCCAGGAGCCACATCGAAAAGCAACCGAAGTATTGGTCAAGTAGGAATAATGGCACGCAGACGGACTTACAGGCGTGCCTGCATCAACAAAGCTGTAAAATACCGTGAAGGAAACGCACGTGATATAGACAACGCGAACCGCGTTGTCGTCCTTTCGAGCCGCATGCCAAAGCGTAAAACGAGGCATAAAACTAACTCAACAGAGCATAATTCGCCCGATGCCGCGAATCTGACCCTGGTTAGTAAAGTCTCCGGAATAACCAGGCACCAGGGCCTCCGGCGTCATTTCCGACTTGCCTTTCCCGTCTCGTCGTTCGTCCCCTTCCCCACGCTGCGCTTGATAAACCCCGTATGACATAGCATTGATGCCACCTCGTCTGATCTTTATTTAGTTTTAATCGTCGATACATGCTCCGTACCTGGCTGTCACCAAATTAGCTCCCCAAGGTGATGGGTTTGGATTCTGACGACACGCTGGCCTGTTGGACAGATTTATCTTTTGGCGCCTTTTTGTGTTGACTCGTAGGATTCGCACAGTCGTGCCTGCCGTCCTTTGCTCATTCCCTCTTGCCGCTTGCCTTACCTTTGTGGTTGGCACTGGCTCCTGCTCTTCGTATTATGGTAGCATTCGAGCCTTCCAACTCGGGAAGCTGTGCGGCGAAACACCCTAAATGCACGGTCATCCCCAAATCTTACGTTTCAATCGGGCTAATATTCACCACGTCGCCAGAGCCCTTCGTCGTCAGCCTTCCCTCTCTGTGGACATTAGCAGCATCAGGTAGGACACCTACTACGTTCTTTTTTTGTTTGTCATTCGTTATATCCATCGCCATTTCAATGCCTCTCTCTTGTCTTGTTTGGCAGTTTTGTATTTGTATCTGACCTGGGGTCGCTTCTTTAATTGTCGTTTGTTTACTCCTCTGATTTCGTGTTCCTTCCCTTCCGTCCTCATCGCTCCTTCCCACCCAGCTATTCCGACGTAGATGCGTCCTGCCGGCGAAATTTGGGCCCTCCCCCTCAATCGCCACCATGGACTTCTCCGGATGCCATGACGACGATTCGTTCGGTCCCGCCGTCCGGGGCTGCCGCGGTGACTTTGACTTTACCATTCGCTTCGAGCAGCTCGTCCTTGGCATCATCCCGCCCGCCGTGTTTGTGCCGCTCGTTTTCCCACGCCTGCTGCACTTGTGGCAACGGCCCAACATCGTGGGCGGTCCCATTTTGCTAGCCGCCAAACTCGTCGCCATCATCGCCCTCGCCGGCCTCCAGCTCGGCCTCCTCATTCTCAGTGCCTCACAGCCCGGCAAATTCAAGGCCCTGCTCTCCGCCTCGTCAGCCCTGGGCCTGCTGTCATCCATATGCATATTCATACTCTCCCACGCCGAGCATACCCGCTCGCCACGGCCGTCCATCCTGCTGTCGAGCTATCTCGTTCTGAGCGTGCTCTTTGACATCACCCTGGCCCGCACGTTCTGGATGGCACGGGAAGACTCGCTAGCCGGTGCTGGCAGCCGCGTGTCCTTGGTCGTGGCCGGCTACGACCTCAACTCGGCTGAAACCGTCTTCTGCCGGCTCTTCTCGGCCGCTCTGGCCTTCAGGGTCGTCCTGCTGCTGCTCGAGTCGGTGCAAAAAAAGTCGATTTTCCGCCCGGATGCCGGTTGGAAAGCCGAGGAGCACAGCCCTGAGGAGACCAGCGGCCTGTTCGGGCTGGGTGCCTACGCCTGGCTTAACACGATTTTCTTAAAAGGCTACAACACAGTCCTGACTATTGACGACCTCTTCGCCCTCGACTACTCCATGTCCACGCAGCGCCTCGAGGCAAAGCTCGCCAAGTATGCCAACGATCTGCCGCCTCCCAAGGAGGGTGACGTGCCCGATGCGCCCCGCAGTCTGTACAACTTTGGCCGCAAGAAGCACGGCCTTACACGGGCTCTTGTTAAGGCGCTGGCTACCGAGTTCTTGTTGCCTATTGGGCCGCGCCTGGCCTTGTCCGGATTCCTGTTCGGCCAGCCCTTCCTCATCAATGCAGCCCTGACCTACCTCGAGCTGCCTGCCGACGTGGCCCCGCGGGACCACGGTTACGGTTTGATTGGTGCTACCTTCATCATCTACCTCGGTGTCGCTGTATCTACGGCGGTCTACTTCTACTACATGGAGCGCGCCATGTTTATGGTCCGGGGCGCGCTGGCTGGTGCCGTTTACCGCAAGACTACCGAGCAGCGCCTCGACGCGGCCGACGACGCGGCCGCCCTGACGCTGATGAGCACCGATGTCGAACGTATTCGCACTGGTCTGCTCACGATCAACGAATACTGGGCCAACATCATCCAGGTCGCTCTCGCCAGTTGGCTGCTCGAGCGCCAGCTGGGCGCCGCTTTCGTCGCGCCCCTTGTTGTTATCCTGTGCTCCATCGGCGCCATTGGCTCGCTCGCCGTCATCACTGGCCGCCGTCAAAAGGCCTGGATGGCCCTGATCCAGAAGCGCGTCGGCATGACGAGCAATGCGATTGTGCACATGAAACACCTCAAGATCTCCGGACTGGCCGCGCCTGTCGAGACTCTGATTCAGCAACTGCGCCTGGACGAGCTTGCCATGGGCTCGCGGTTCCGTATAATTATCTGCTTTGCCGTCACGGCTGCCTACTCGCCGCAGATGCTATCGCCCGTCTTTGCCTTTGTCTTTACAGCCCGTTCGCTCGATACGGCCAGCGTCTTTACAGCGCTGTCCTTTGTCATTCTCGTCACCATGCCTTTCATTATGGTACTACAGGGCCTGCCAACAGTTGTGTCCGCGTTTGCCTGCCTGGAGCGTGTACAAGAGTTCCTCGAGAAGCCGCCGCGCGAAGACTTCCGAACACCGTTGACAGAGACACGCAAGACACTGGAAAAGCCAGACACAAGCGAGCCGGGCGAGAGTGATACCGTCGTCATTGACGCTGCTAGCCTTGGCTGGGGGAACGACAAGTTCAGCCTGCCTAACGTTCGCCTCGCCATTCCCTCGTCCAAGCTCACCATTGTCGTCGGCCCCGTCGCCGCAGGAAAATCTACACTTTGCAAGGCTCTTCTCAGCGAAGTGCCTCACCTCAGCGCTGGTAGCTCGCTCCGTGTCGACCTGCGTACGCACAATGGCCGCCTGCGCCGTATCGGCTACTGCGACCAGACCCCGTTCCTCTTTAACGCCAGTGTCCGCGACAACGTCATCGGCCTAGCCGGAACGGATGCCGAGTTTGACGAGGCTCGCTACCGCCAAGCCATTGAGGCTGCCATGCTGCTTCCTGACCTCGCGCTTCTACCCCAGGGCGACCGCACCAGGGTCGGCAGCAACGGTATCACTCTTAGCGGCGGCCAGAAGCAGCGCGTGTCTATTGCGCGCGCACTGTACGTCGACACGGATCTCTACATATTTGACGATGTTCTGAGCGGTCTCGATGCCGACACCGAGGAACACGTTTTCAACCGCGTCTTCGGCGCCGATGGCATCCTTACCAAGCAGCGCAATGCCACTGCCATCTTGTGCACGCACTCCGTCCGCCATCTTCCGGCGGCCGAGTATGTCGTGGCTCTTGATGCCAAGGGTGCCATCGTTGAACAGGGCTCGTTCGAGACGCTACTAGCGAATCGCAACTATGTAGCAAGTCTCGGCGTCAAGGACAAGAAAAAGAAAAAGGGCGGTGCTGGTGGTAGTGTCGTAAGAGAGTCCCGTGAGGGCGGAGAAAGCAGTGATCTAGACTCGGCCCAGGCGTCTACAGATGGCCCCATGGCAGCCGCAATGGCTGGAAGGGACGGTGGTCGCGACGAGCCAGCTGGCACCGACTTGACGGCGGCCCAGATGGCCGGCCGTGCACTCGGTGACAGATCGGTATACAAACATTATTTCGTACGAATCGGACCGTGGCCTCTCATAGCATTCGCCATCTTTGGTCTCTCGTTTGGTTTCTTGTACAACTGGGGCAACATCTGGCTCAAGTTCTGGGTCGAGGACCGCGTGCGCATTCCGCACGCCAACCACTCCACCGGGTTCTACCTAGGCATGTACGGCTTCTTCCAGGCGCTTGGCCTCGCCTGCCTGTTCATCGTCAGTCTCGTCAACTTCCGCACCGTCATCCAGATTTCCGGCGCCCGTCTGCACCTCGAAGCCCTGCAAACCGTTGTCCGTGCGCCCCTGCGGTTTTTCACCAAGACTGACAACGGCATCATTACAAACTATTTTTCGCAAGACATGACCCTCATCGACGGCGAACTGCCCTCGTCGCTCACCAACGTCGGTGTGGGCTGGTTTTTGACCCTGTGCACCGCCGCGGTCATCGCCACGTCGTCTCCCTACTTGGCCATCTGCTACCCATTTATCGGCGGCATCTTTTTCGGCATCCAGAAATTCTATCTGCGCACGTCCCGCCAGCTACGTCTCCTCGACCTCGAGGCCAAGTCCCCGCTGTACTCCCACTTCCTCGACACGATGAAGGGTCTCGCCACATTCCGTGCCTTTGGCTGGGTGGCACCTGGCGTGGCCCTCAACGACCGCCTCGTCGACCGCTCGCAGCGCCCAGCGTATCTGCTGGCCATGATCCAGCGCTGGCTGACGTTCTCCATCCAGTCTGTCATGGTCATCTTATCCACGACAGTTGTGACGCTGGCTACGCAGCTGCGCTCCAACACGGCCTTTACGGGCGCCAGCATGATTCTGCTCATGAACTTTGGCGACGTGCTGTCCTTTATCATGTACGCGTACACGATGCTTGAGACGTCGCTGGGCGCCATCAGCCGCCTCAAGACGTTTAGCGAGAACGTGCACGGCGAGTCGTACGACGACAACGCGGACGAGAACGTCAAACCGCCCTTGGCGTGGCCGACGCGCGGCGCCATCCGACTGAACAACGTGTCGGCGACATATGAGTGAGTACGACGGTGTCTGTGCTGAAATGCAGATTAAATCTACCTACTGACCGTACACAGCGACACTTCGAGCGACTCGAGCGACCTGAGAAAACCGCCTCAGATGGTTCTCGACAACATTAGCCTGACGCTGCGCGCGGGTGCCAAGGTGGCCATCTGTGGCCGCACAGGAAGGTGAGCGACCCATCCAAAGCCATACCTGTGAAAAACGACGACGCTTCTGCTCACACACTTTTAGTGGAAAGTCTTCCTTTATTCTGCTGCTCCTGCGTCTCTTGGATCCGTATGCACCAGGAGACGGTGGCGTCCCCGAGAAGGATGTGTCGGCATCGGACCAGGATACGAGTCTGGCTGCTGATGGCGTCTTCATCGACGGCCTGCCCCTGCACACCATCGACCGCCCCACGTTGCGCGAGCGTGTCATTGCCGTCCCCCAGGACGCCGTATTCTTGCCGGACGGCACCTCGTTCCGCCAGAACCTGGACCCCTTCGGTGCGGCCGATGCCAGCATGTGCCAGGCGGCGCTCGAGACCGTCGAGCTTTGGCCGTTTGTGCAGGAGCGTGGTGGACTCGAGGCTGGTCTGGCGGCCGACACCCTGTCGCAGGGCCAAAAGCAACTGTTCAGCCTGGGCCGTGCCATTCTGCGCCGCCGCGTCCGTGCCGCCGCCGGGCTGTCTGGGCCCGGTTCCGGAATATTGCTACTGGACGAGGTCTCGTCCAGTGTCGACCAGAAGACGGACCGCGCCATGCAGACCGTTATCCGCGACGAGTTTGCAGGCTACACGGTGATCATGGTCAGCCACCGTCTCGATATGGTGCTGGCGACGTGCGACACAGTGGTGGTGTTGGACCAGGGCCGGGTGGTGGAGACGGGCGTGCCGTCGGAGCTGGTCGAGTCCGAGGGCACAAGGTTCCGCGAGCTATGGCTTGTCGGGAAGAAGGCCTAGGGAAGAGTGGGTAAAGGAAAACAAAAAAACGAGTTTGACATGTATTCTTATGTGGGCTCTGGACATCTTTCCTCATTTTCTGTATTCTACAATCTTCGCTTAACGATATTGAACCCGGTTCCTGCATTTCTCCCCTTCCTCCCATGTCGTATATCTCGGCATCCAATTCAGTTCAAACTGCGAGACAGGTGGTCGACGGGAACTGCAAATAGACACGTATACGAAGAGTCAGGCTATGTAGTGAACATGTTGTTCTGATACACAAAACGTAGTCATCGGAACGACTAAGCTGCTGCCTATGACGGGCTTCATTGTTGAACGTCGCTCGAGCTACTTCCACGTCAGCCTCATCGAGTCACAGACGTCCGAAGTGACTGAGAAAAGCACAACCAAAAACAAAACGCAGTCCCGCTCCGCAAGGCGCCGGTGAAGAAACCACAGTGGCTTCTTGCAAGGCCAGGCTGCCAACAATAACGACACCTTGCACAAGCACGACACAAAAGCGCGACAAGGTGACGAAACTAGACTTAAAAGAAGACAAGGTCATCAGGAAAGTTGACAATGCTCTGATTGTAAGTAATCGGTTTCAATTCCACACATTCTTCTCTTTGTTCTGCCCTTGTTGTCTCAGACAAGGCAAACCTCGATTCATGACCGAGTGAGAAAGCACTGCCGCTTGTCCCTACATTCACATTGGTCCTCACCGTCGCGGACCTTCCGACGTCCTCCGGCCAGTTCACGTCTCTTTGTTCCTTGCATTGCGGCTCCATCTGGTGAGTACGTTTCCGCTGTCGCTGCTTCAGTTATTCGCTTTGCCTCCCCACTGGCCGTTTTCTTTCATCTGCCCTGTCCACCTGCCGCACTTACACCGCCGCCATACCCCACTTCCCCTGCCGGACCGCCTGTGCGTCCGCCAGTGGGCGCAGGATGACGTAGCCCGTCTGGTGGCCTTTTTCTGTGGCTCCTTGCAGTCGGCTCTGTGCACTACGGGGCATTAGTGCGTCTTACAGTGGTCCTCCCCACTCGCCCACCAGCCGCATTCTCCGCCAGGCTGCTTTAGGGGCATTTAGGGGCATATCGGTCCTCGCTGTCAGGCGCAGCGCCTCGTGTCTCTTAGCGATCTTCACCTGTCCGTCTTCGTTTTCTTGTCGCCTGTCTCGCAAACTGTCGCCCCCTCTATTACCCGAAAAAGGGTCACCTGCAGGGCCTTTGCATACGCTTGTCCGATAAGACTCGTGTGTTTGACCGGCCGACGGCCCCGCGCACATCGTCCCTCGTGGTCATCTTCCTTTGCAGGTGAATCGGCTTACAGTGTACGCGCAGCCGCTTACCCATTCATCATTCACTGCAATACCCACTACAGCTCTGTGGTCCACCGTACCTGTGGCCCTTCTCCGTGCCCCGCCGCCAGCCGCGTTCGCTCTTGCCGTTGTCTGCGCTCTGACTATCTGACCTTTATCTCGTTCTTGCCGTTACTCTTCTTTTATTGTCCATCTCTTTCTTTTGTTCTTTTCCTCAACCACGGACGGCCACAGTCTACTGGCGACGCAACAGACTCCTCGCCCGCATTCCCTTTGCCGTCTACGTTGTCACCTTACCACGGCAGACAAACACACCCCGTCCCCGCGTGCGCACGCTCCTTCGCGGTAATCGCAGTGCGGCTGTTTGCCCGTTGCTTACTTCCTTTACTTCCAGACTGTTTCTCACGTTTGACCACTTCAACTTTTTTCTCTCGGACTCCTCAGAAATACCACCGCCATGTTCGATGTCCTCCCCAAAGCTTTGGCGTAAGTCCCTCGAGCCACTGTCCTCGTTGCCGTTTGCTAAACATGGTCTCTAACTCGGACTTTTCTCCAGGTCCGTCGCCTCCTTCCTTTTCCCCGTCTACGCCTCCTACAAAGCCCTCAACACCGCCGATCCCGCTCAGCTCACCCCTTGGCTCATGTACTGGGTCGTCCTCGCCTGCGTGCTGCTCGTTGAGTCCTGGACCGACTGGATCTTGGTCTGGGTGCCGTTCTACCACTACTTCCGCCTCTTCTTCTTGTTGTACCTGGTCCTGCCGCAGACGCAGGGTGCCCGCGTCTTGTACCAGTCCCATGTCCATCCCTGGATCGTCGAGCACGAGACCCAGATTGACGAGTTGATCGGGTCCGCCTATGCGCGCCTGCGCTCTGCCGGCATGCACTACCTGAAGCAGGCCATTGCCTACCTGCGGACCGCGCTGGGGCTGCCGGTGGCGCCAGAGGGGCCGCCGTCGTCGTCGTCTCCGTCGTCATCTCCGTTTTCGTACGCTGGCGCCGCCAGCGCCCAGTCCTACACCCAGTCCTTGCTGGCCCGCTTTACGCTACCGAGCGCCCGTTGGCCGGGTGGCGCCATGGGCGCGGCGGCCACCTCGTCGGGCCTCCCGCACCCGGCCGCGCCCGGGTCCGGCACCGACTTTTACAGCATGCTGGCCACCGCCGTCGGGGCGCTCGGTACGGCCACGGGCGCGGCGGGCGCGGCGGGCGGCGTGGCTGCCGGTGCCGCCGCCTCGGCGTTTAGCCGGGGTCTGGGCCTTGGCGGCCAGGAACACGACCAGGACCACGACCACGACTACGATGCCGGGCAGACCATGGCCGCGTCGGGCACGCTCGTGCCGCCCCACATCCAGGACGCCGACCGCGCGTCGTTTTTGGCCACGCAGCGCGACCGCCTGCGCACCCTGTTGTCGGCGCTTGAGCGCGAGGCCGCGCAGCTCGACGAGGAAGACGAGGTGCTGGCCCGGACGGCGCCCCTCTCGCGCCCGCTGAGCAGCGCCAGCGGTCTGAGCAAGAGCCGCAGCGAGGCCGACTTTGAAAAGATTGACGCCGAGAGCGGCACGGAAGAGGACAAGCCGGTGCGGCAGCGGCGGCATGGCGGGGCGAGCGGGGCGAGCGGGTCGGGCGCAGGTGGTGGTGCATCGGTCGACGCCCAACCCAGCGCGGGCGGCCGCACGACGAGCGGGTCGTGGATGCCCTGGGGCTGGCGGAGCGGCGGCAGCGAGGACACGACTGCGCCCGTCAGCGACACCGGAAAGAGCTCGTCCGTGGAGCAGTAGATCATCCTGGGCCGCTCCCGCTTGCCTGCATGCTAGACTTTATTTTGTTCAATGTACCTCCACACGACGTTTGTTTATTGTTTATTTTCAGGTGTTCTATGGGTTTCATGTGCCTCCATGTCTTACTATCTGGGCGGAGTCATATTTTGTATTTTATAATATCGTCTACCTCTTTACTCCCCACGCGCACAAAGGGACGTCTTCGTTCAAGGCAAACTATGGATAGACACGGTGCGCCATACTGGGTCCTCGAAGCACCGGTTCAATAGAGAACTTTTCTCGGCGCCTACATTCGCTACAGCCATTGTCTCGTCAATTGTTGTCGTTGAATATGAGGTGTTGTTTGGTCTGTGTTGTCGCTACGTGCGTTCTATATGTTTTCTCATAACGCTCCCGCGCCTATCGTACAAACATGCCGCGCCAGCAATCGCTCACCGCCTACCGCACCACCTTGGATGCGCTCGAAGACGTCGACGTCGCCAGCGCGTACGGATACACCGGCGGCGAGTCCTTGCGCAGCCAAATCTGCCGCTTCTTCTTGGTGACGACGTGCTCCACCCACACCTCGCGGCAGTACTGCTTCTTGAAGGTGCGGATGAACCGCGGGTCCCAGAGCTCCGACGCGACGCCCAGGTCCTTGCAGCACCGCATCATGGCATTCGACTTGCTGCCCTCGCCGGCCGTCGCCACCCCGTCCTCGCCGCCAAAGTACGCACACTCGCCCCGCGCCTGGCCCACAAACCGGCCGTGCACCACCAGCGCAAACTCCCGCGAGACCACCTTTTCGCCCACGGCCAGTTCGCCGCGCGGCGCGAGGCCCCAGCCACCGGGGCCAAACGCCAGGTTGAGGATGCGGCGGTACTTGATTTCCGGCAGGTAGATGATGCCGTCGGGCTTGATCTCAATGTCCTCGGGGTCGAGGGGCGTCATGAGCACGCGGGCCACCTCGGGCGCAAAGGGCGTGGTCGACAGGCCATGGAACGACGCGGACCAGTCGACGGCCGGGGCATTGGGGTCGGCAGCCGGGCCCTGGGCAGGGCCGGCGGCATCGGGGAGGGGTGGCGCAGTCGGGTCGAACGGCGCGGTGTCTGGGCTGGCTGGTTCGGCGGGTGTGGCAGCTGATGCGGGTGAGGCACTGCGGGCGGCAGCGGCTGTGCGCGTAGAGTGGATGGGCCGACTCGCAGAGGAGGAGGATGTCTGTGCGGGTGACGCGTTCTTGACGGCCCCGGCCGGCCGCGATGGCCTGCGCGCGGCGGTAGACGAGGCTGGAGCGGACGTGGACGCGAAGCGAGAGACAAATGCGAGACGCTTGGCCGCCGCCGCCGGTACCAGCGCGCGAACTGCGCGCGGTACAGACATTCTCAAGTGGAAGCTGCGAGTGATTGGCGAGAAAGGGAGACTGGTTGCAGCCGAAGTGCGTCGCAAAGAAGGTGGTGTGCGTTGGCGAGAAGGGGTACTGCTTTGAGGAAGAGCTTTGAGGAAGAGCTTTCCGAGGTGGCTGGCAGCGAGGCGAGGCTGCGCCAAATGTGGCACTAGCGACGGGCGTGCAGGGCTCCACCAAAGCTGAATAGCAGTGTTCACTGCTGCCATGTTCAGGCACCAGTGCAGTCTTTTACAGGCAAAGTAGAAGGCACAAACGAAAACAATAATAATCGCAATAAAGAGAAAACCATCGGCGACATCAGCGAGTCAAACAACGACATAAAGTATGCACACAACTCAACACAACCCGAGCATAAACGGCAAAAAAAGACAAAAAATCAGTGATAAGAGTGGGATTCGAACCCACGCCTCTTGCGAGACTAGCATGTTCACGCTGTTCGACTCGAATCCGGAAATTCTCATCTCGAACCTGAAGCTAGCGCCTTAGACCGCTCGGCCATCTTACCATTCGCTGATTTGTGGAAGTCCGGGTCCGGTTTAGAGAAGAAGAAGGCAAAGTGCGGGCCGAAATGCGAGCTGACAGCGTGGACGAAATGCAGTACGAGGACACGCGTGGAGGGGACCAAAATGAGCAGAGTTCTACCAACGCCGATACCTGGCTAAGCTGTAAAAGTACATAATAAACACATCAGAGTTCAGTCATGGTCCTCCGTCCGACGTCACTTTTCCGGCTTCACTTTTCCGGCTCCACGTCCTTTGTGCTTGTGCGCTCGTCGTTGTTGTGTGCCTTCCAACATGCCCGGAACTTTTCCATCTGCAAAACATCAGCCCACATGTCATGTCACCATCGACCTGGCCACGATGCTTACGCAGTGCAGCTGGGCAGACTCACCTCGTCTTTGCATGCACGCCAGTCCTTCTTCTCGTAGTAGCAGTCGGTGAGTTTGGCATTCTCGTCTGAGAGCGCAGTCGAATGTCAGTCAAGTGCTGCTGTATCGAGCCCCGTCAATACCGAAATACCGATTTAGATGGTGCCTACCTGCACAGCCTGTACTGAAGATGCGTTGCTCCCTGACGAAGATACAGCATTAGCTCAACAAAACAGGCGATAACGAGATATAACCAAACAGCCAGCTCGCCAGCTCGCCAGCTCGTCTCAGATGCCAAACCTACCACTCGTCCGGCTCGTCGTCTTCGGCCGCCGTGGCCGCTTCAGCCTTGCTCTCGTCTTTCGTCATGCCAATGGGTGGGAGACGTAAAACAGCATGCAATACAACGCCCTGTGACTCGTAGATGGTTTGTCAAATGCTGGTTTGCCAATTGCTGTGGATGGTCTCTATAGTCGTTTGGCATTTCTTCAATGACGAGAAGTGCTGTTCAATCCACCAACTCAACAAATGCGCCAGCTAAGATACTACCAAATGCTCGCTAATTACAAGGCGGTGTAACGACGTTGGGCCTTTCGCGCGCCCCAACTGCCCGTGAAAACGCCACTAATAACCCACAGCTTAGCGTCATCCCGCCTTCGTGCCTTCCCTCGGGGCAGCTCATTCCCCAATCAGAAGATTGCCGTTTACAGCCACTTCCGCCCTCGGGATTCGATTGACCCAAAAAACTGGAGAGCTATCAAACTACCTCACAGCTCGCCTCGGCTTCCTGTCTCAGCTCGAGTCACAGCATAGCCAACTTGCTGCTATGCCACCGCGCAAGCTCAATGTGCTGGTGTATGCCGGCTCCGGCTCCACTACCGAGTCCGTCCGCCACTGTCTGTTGACGCTCCGCCGCCTTCTCTACCCCAACTACGCCGTCATCCCTGTCACCGAAGATGCCCTGGTCAAGGAGCCATGGCAGGCCACGTGCGCGCTGCTCGTCATCCCCGGCGGCGCCGACATGGGCTACAGCCGCGTGCTCAACGGCGCGGGGAACCGTCGCATTGCGCAGTACGTCCGTGCCGGCGGCCGCTACCTGGGCCTCTGCGCCGGCGGCTACTACGGCAGTGGACGCTGTGAGTTTGAGGTGGGCAACAAGCCGCTCGAGGTGATTGGCCGGCGCGAGCTGGGCCTCTTCCGGGGCACGTGCCGGGGGTGTGCCTACCCGGGGTTCGCATACAAGAGCGAAGCGGGCGCGCGCGCCGTGCAGCTCACGGTACACCGGGACGCGTTTGCGCCCAAGGGCACCAAGGGCGCCAAGGGCGGGACAGACACGGACAAGAAGGACAAGAAGGACAAGAAGGACAAGAAGGACAAGAAGGGCCCGGGCGCCGACCTGCCCACATCGGCGTGCAGCTACTACAACGGCGGCGGCGTGTTTGTGGACGCCAAGAGCGCCGACAACGTCCAGGTGCTGGCGAGCTACCCAAACGACATTGCCGTCGATGGCGGCAAGGGGCGAGCGGCCATCATTTACTGCACCGTCGGTGAGGGCGCTGCCATTCTCACCGGGCCGCATCCAGAGTACGCCCACCTCTCGTCTCTCGTCTCGTCAACATCCCACTAACCATCCAGGTTCGAGCCGGCCAACCTCTCGGAACGCCCCGATGTCCCGCACTATGATGACCTGCTGCGTGCCCTGCGCAAAGACGACGAGGCCCAGTCCCGCGTCAAGCTCCTCAAGGCCTGTCTGGCCAAGCTTGGCCTCGAGCTCGGCAGCGGAAGTGCCGTCCAGCCACGCCTCACGGCCCTGCACGTCACCACGCTGTACCCAGACGAGGTCCAGGAGCTCATGTACAAGTGGGAGGAGATTGTGTCGGCAAAGGGCGCCAACGCATTCATCCGCGACGAGAGCGATACCTTTCGAGTGCTGCTCCCCGACTCGGGACCGCTGGCATGGCCGGCCGAAGCGAATGTGGCGACACCGCTCTCGGACGACGACAGCGTGGGCCAGGGCTACGGCCAGAGCAACCAGAAGCGCTTCAGCGCGGGCATGCTCATGGATCTCACGGACCGTGCATTGCGCTACCCGAAGCTGGCCGAGCTCATTGGCCGCGTAGCCAGCGGCACGGCACCCGACACAGACACTGACACATTCCGGGCCATCCTGGAGGCCGTTGCCGACCACGAGGAAGAAGGAGACGACGACAGCAGCGACCCAGCAGCTGCGGCTGCGTCACTCTCCACAAGCACAGTCGACGAGTGGCGGGAGGCGTGGAAGACACACCGGGCCGCATTCGACCGCATGGTGGACGCCATCTACAGGGCGGTGGGACGCACTCTGCTCGGCCACCCAGAAAATGTGCCCAAACTGGACGCGGAGATTAAGCAAGAAATGTGGAGCTCCCTGGTGCACGCGTGGGAAGACAAGCGGCGCCGGAGAGAGGAGGCGAGTCGTCCGCTCGAGGACGCTGACGGTGTTGATGCTGAAGCACACAACGACACCGCCAGCCGGCTCCTGCAGCTCGTCGACGAGGTCGCCGGCGACGATGCCGAGGATGGTACCATTAAAAAGATCGTCGTGTACGAGGGCGGCTGGCCGAGCAAGGTGGCCGTCTTTGACCACAGCCGCTACTACCGCGCCCTCGCCACCTACCGCCTGAGCCTCTCCTCGGGCAGCAACCGCGCCCACCACGCCGACGACGACTACGAATGGGGCAACCAGCTCATGTACGCCAAAGTCACGACGAGCACCAACACGCTGCTCGAAAAGAACCCCAAGCTGCTGAGCACGCTGCCCACGGGCTTCACGTTGACCGCCACACGCCAATTGTCTGCGCGGGGCCGCGGGTCCAACGTCTGGCTGGCACCCGAGGGCCAGCTCGTTCTGTCGACCGTCATCAACCACCCGCACCGGTTTGGCAGCGGCAGCGGCAGCGGCAACCGCCCCGTCGTGTTTATTCAGTATCTCGCGGCCATTGCCATCGTGGAGGCCATCCACGCGTACGCGCCCGGCTTCGAGGCGCTGGACGTCAAGCTCAAGTGGCCCAACGACATTTACGCGCGAGACACGACCAGCCCCCGCAAACACAACGAAGGCGAGGCCCCCGGCTACGTCAAGATTGGCGGCATCCTCTCGTACTGCGCGTTCCAAAACGGCCAGTACCAGGTCGTGCTGGGCATCGGGCTCAACACGGTCAACAAGAAGCCCACCACCAGCCTCGAGGCCCTGGTGCCGCCCGCGCTCCGCGCCTCGGTGTTGGGCGGCGCCGCCACGGCCACAACCGCCACGTCCACAACGGTCATCGACAATGAAAAGCTGCTGGCGTGCCTGCTGGTCCACCTCGAGTCGCTGTACAAGCAGTTTCTCCGCCAGGGCTTCGCCGGCGCGCTCGAGCGCCTCTACTACCGCCACTGGCTGCACACGAACCAGGTGGTGACGCTCGAGGCCGTGGCGGGCGCCCCGCGGGCGCGCGTCCTGGGCATCTCCCCCGACTGGGGCCTGCTGCAGGTGGCCGAGGTGGTGCAGACGGTGGGGACGGCGTCGGTGCGCGGCGGGGACGGCGACGACGGCGAGGACGGGGCAGAGGAGCGGCTGACGGGCCGCGTGTGGAAGCTGCAGAGCGACGAGAACAGCTTCGACTACTGGAAGGGTCTGGTGCGGACCAAGACATAGGTCCGCGCGGCGATTCTTGTTTCTTTCTATTTTACGCGTTTATTTGTGTGCATACATTTGATACAGTTGGCATATATCTTGGACTCTACAACAGACCTGCTTTTGCTTGTTTCTCTCGTCGTTTTGCTTCTCCTTGTTGCTGTCAGCACAGTGTGAAAATGGTGTTTACATGCACTCTTGGTGCGAGCATGGTGGCCATCAACGGGTCGACCGGACAAACGAAGCAACGCATCACGGCAATGAACACGACGACGCCGCCGGCATGTGCACAATTCGCAAGTATCTTCGCTTGTCTATACGCTTGTCTATACGCTTGTTCTATATACAGTCATTTGATTGTGAAGCCATTTGTTTCTTTCTGAACGCGACGATTCACGTCTGGTTGTTCCGCCACGTTGATATTCACTGCACGCGCCGCTCTTTCGCGTGACTTTCCTCTCACGTTGCTCTCAGATGCTCCTCACTTTTTTGTGGCTCCGAAAACGAGTTGTTTGTTGTTGTCCCGTGCAAACAGAAGCTGCTCCTGTTGTCCTTGACGGTCAGTTTCCCTTCTTGTCCCCATGTTCCTTTATTTCCTCTTGCTTCTTCTTTTCTCTTTTCTTTCCTCTCGTCACATTCATCGTCACGACATCTCCTGTTTTCGTATTGCCCTTCCCTTTCCCAGTCTCCTTCAATATATACCCTCCATCCTCATTCCCCTATTCACTTGCAAAGGTCGTCTTGCACACCCACACATTTTTTTCTCACGCATTCCTGAGATGAGCCAATCCACGGCTTCAGGTCAGGGACCTGGACTCCAACCCAGCATCACGACAAACCATGTCCGTCCAAGAGACGACAGCAACAGCTCTCTGGATATTTTGACACCCACAGCGAGCCCGAATGAGAACAACAGCAGCGGCGGTGATGGGGACACGATTGCTGGTTTGAACAAAGACACATGCACCAGCAGCGTCAAGCCGTCCAAAATGGAGAGCCATCCCAACCGAAGCCCGGTGATGGCAGGTAGATACCGCATTCCCACAGTATCCTCGTCATCGTCCCATAGGACACATAGCGGGCAGAGCACGCACAGCGGCCAGGATGCATCCCATCGGTCATCGTTTCCCTTGCCCCTTGCGCCGCCAAAGCCAGCGTCTCTGCCCACGCCAACGCTGCCCGGTCAGACTGCCCATAAAAGCGTCCGCATCAGCAGCAGCAGCAGCAGCAACAACAACAACAACAACAACGCCCACGCCGGTCTGCGCTATTCCATGGACTACGACCAAGGCTATACAAGCGGAATAAAGTACACCAAACGGGCGCAGGGCGACAACTCATTCCACACAAACGGCGGCAAGAATGGCAGCCACAGCCGGGCGCAGCAGGCCATGGACGACATCAAAACGGAAGCATTTGCGGCCGGCAAGTTGCACGGCTACCAGACGGGCTACCAGACGGGCTGCCAGGAAGGCCGCCGCGAAGCCTACCACGAAGGGCATCTCGTGGGCCACCGTGAAGGCCACAGGGACGGCCGTGACGACGGTCTCCGCGAGGGACGCCGGGAAGCGCAAAAGGACAGCCAGAGGCATGGCTACAACGAGGGACACCGGGTGGGCGAAGAGAAGGGGTACGCCGAGGGGCAAAAGAAGGGCTATGCGGAGGGTCACGAGGCCGGGCGCAGCGAGGGTCGCGAAAGCGGCCACGGCGAGGGGTACCACGCGGGCTTCGACGAGGGCTACGACCAGGGCTACTACGACGGCCACGGCCACGGCGAGCAGCGCGGCCATGCGCGCGGCTGGGACGAAGGATACGAGCAAGGGTTCGCATGGGCCAGCACGTTTTGGACGAGCGGGCCTCTCAAAGCAGACGCCCAGGAATTTGTGCCCAAGACGTACACGGGCCCCCTTGTCGTCGATGGGTTGAGCGGTCCGGGCGTGGATCCCACCTTGTTTCGAAGCTGGCTCAACGACGTCGAGCATCGCCAGTTGACGCGTCCTGCACAGGCAGACGTTGCCAGCGACCAGGACACGGTTCAGCAGCCAGACACTCGTGAAACGGACCAGAGGGGCGGCATTGACCACCTCGTCACCCAAACAGATGACCTCTCTGCCAAAGAAAAGCGTGAGGAACACCACATAGGACAACCCATCACCATCGACGTCGGCCTCTCTGTTGATGACGAGGCTGAGGACAGTGACCCGCCCATTGACAGTGGCAATCGACAGCACGACAAGAAGACCGCGACTGTGGAGGTTGACGACAGCGGCGACGATGTTTTTGTCACTCCCTACGAGAGTCCGGTCGCGGCGCGCGTTGGCATCCTAGGCCAAGAGAGCGACAACGAGTCCGAGGCCGACCTTTGTGCTGGAGGGCCCGCTGCCTCCCCTCCTCGCCGCGAAGCTCCTCGCCCTCGGGTGGCCTCCCCTTCTCCGTCACGAACTGTGTCACCCGCGTCCTTCGCGTCCGGTGCGACCGTCGCCCACAACGGCACGCAGGAAGGAGACACCGTCACGCACTACATCACCTTCGGCGACGTTCTTGTGACAATCACCAAGTCGCCCGCTGGCACGGTCGCTGTTCCGTCGTGGCCCCCGACCACTGTCGACGTGACAGCCACCATTGGTGCAACGGCTGCCGAGGTTGACGATGCTGTAAGTTGCGCCTTCCATTGGCCCAGTTCCCGTGGCGCACTCTGTAGTGCAACATGACTAACGCTCCATCATCCGTGGCAGGACGCATCCGACATGGATTCGCTTGGGGGCCAGTCGACGCTCGTCTTGGACATTTCGGACGAAGAGATGCCGGAGCCAGCCGAGCGCCTAGAGGTACAAGTGGATGTCGACGACGCGTCCATCCGCTCGCCGACGCTGAGCGAGACCGAGGTCGACCATAGCGATACGAAGGGCAAGGCGGCCAGCGCTACGAGCAAGGCCACGGCCCAGGCGGCGCCCCAAATCCAGATGCCACCCAACCCGGTCATGACGTTCGAGGACATTGCCATCTTCGAGAGTCAAGGGCCCAACCCCCCTCTGCCGCGCTATCCGTCGCCGCTCGACCGCACACCGCCCCTGTTTGAGATTGGCCCCGACCAGGCGCCGCAGGTCACCGAGAGCTACCCATCGTTCCGCCGCCGCGGCTGCAACACGGTGTTTTCCGCATACCGTCTCGAGCCGGGCCAGATCTTCGACCCGCTCGCCGAAGTCGACGACAAGAAGGGCACCATCTTTGCGGTGGGGGGGCGCACACCGCCGCGCGGCATGGTCAAGCTCGTGCCCGACCACATTGTCTACAAGTTTGGCATCCCGCCGTCCGACCACAGCAATGAGACAAACGACGCAAACGACACAAACGACACACATGCCGCTGCCTCCTCCGGCGCGGAGCGGCTCGCTCGCTGCCTACAGCACGGCCTGTCGACCTGTCCAATGTGCGCCATCACCCCGTCGTTCCGGTTCCTGGGCCCCGGCGAGGCCCTCGCGGCCCCCCTCGCGCACGACGGCACGCCCGCCGGCGACCCACAGACCAGCCAGGCGGCCTTTGCCTTTGGGCCGTTCCGTCCCGCCGGGTTCGGCGATGTCCAAGTCCACGGCCGCCCGCTGCAGGAGTCGTCGCTCGCGGCCGCCCAGCACCCCGACGAGGCCAGCCCCCCGTGTCCGGTGCGCATGATGCCGCAGTACGACCCCGAGGTGCTGGGCCACCAGGTGCGCGACGAGCGCGGCGAGCGCGGCGAGCGCAACGAGCACGGCGAGCACGCCAGGGAGAAGCCCGTGCCGCCGTCCGCGCTGAACACACACTACTGCGACCCGTGCGGCGGCCTGACGTGGCTGGTGACGCGCCGCAGCCGGCCCCATGGCGGCGGGCCGCCCGCGGTAGGAACAAACAGCACCAACGCCGACAACGGTGGCAACGGCTACGAATCTAGTGGGGGCCGCACGATGGGCGACCGCACCTTTGGGAGGTCGCACCCCAGCCACCATGCGTCCTTCAATGAGCCTTGGAGCCGGTCTCGGTCGTTTTGTGCCTCGCTGGGGGGCCGTGGCAGCAGCCGGTTCCCCGAGCAGGCGGGCACGACGCGGTCGCTCTTTGTCGAGGTGGCGTCGGTGCCGGCCGAGGCGACGCACAAGGGGCAGGGCCGTGGACGCGGTGGGCCGGCTCGCTATGGAGTGGCGGCGTTCTTTGGGCCCAATTCGCGGTACAACAGCCGCCTCGATCTCGACTTGGCCACAGCGAGCACGCAGGTGGCCCGACAGGTTCGACAGGACCGACAAGACCAAAAGGACTGCCGGGAGCGTCTGGTGGACCTGCCCTTTGAGCGCTTCTCGACAAACGCCGGCCCCCTCGCCGCTATGGCCGTTGCGCTCCACCGGCTCTGGGTCGACGTGGTGCCGGCGCACCGGGCGGCCATCGACCGGGTGACGCGGTACAACAGCGACCACTCGCGGCGCAAGGCGTACCGCTTCCGGGCCATCGTCATGACCGACAGCGCGTACGTCGTCGACTTGTTCAGCGACCATCTGCACAAGCGGTGGACCCGCCGTTTCCGACCGTACGACTATGTCGCGCCCGGCAGCGGGAACGCGCTAGCTGTGTCCAGTGCGGCTGCTGTCGCAGACAAGCCCGCGTCCAAGAAGAAGAAGAAGTCAGGAAAACGCAAGTCGAAGAAGACCAAAAAGGCCAAAAAGGGCAAGAAAGAGGCGGAGGCGAAGGCGGAGGGGGCGGAGGAGGTTCACAAGAAGGACAAAAAGGAGGAAAACAAGGATGAGAAAGCTGCCGTAGCTGTTGTGGGCGCTGTGGACGCCGTGGGCGCTTCCAGCGGAAAGGGCATTCGGACAACTGTCGTCATGGGAGCGCCCGGCGACAGTGAGCCCTCGGACGGGAGCGTCGCCACCAACAACGACAACACACGAGTCGTGGCCACCTTTGACGAGCTCATCGACATGGATCTGGCCGCGGCGGCGAGCCCGACCTTTTCCATCCCGACGACCACGCCCACGTCCAGCCGGGCCGACTCGCACTCG